TTGGATCTCCATGGCTGTTCCATGTGGTTGGCCAAGCGGTACAGGATGGTCACGGCTTCGGCGTCGTGCTTTCCACTTCGTAGTTCTCGGGAGACGTCATATTCTTGCTTGGTGTCGCTGGAGATGGCATAGAGGATTTTCCAAAATTGCACTTGCTTGGGTAGGATGTTCAGGAGTGCCGCATTCTTGCCTTGAACTCGTCTCCGAAGCTTCTTGAATAATTGTCTGGCCAGGCTATCTGATGGCTTCTGAGTGTGTGGTTGTTGATGCTTTGGTACCAACCCGTGGGCTTTCTTGACTAGCTCCTTGGTGACGAAGGGGTAGTTCAGCTTAGGCTGCCAGCGTTGTATCAAACTGTGCTCTTCAGCCCAGGCGTCAATGTACTCCTTGTGTGTCGATAGAAGCAAAGTGCTGAATTGCCCGTAATTGTTGGCGTCTTTCCAATATCGGATGGCGATCTCTGTCTTGGGAAGCTTGAGATTTTGAAGTTGTCGAAGTTTTGCTACTCGATTGTATTCACGCTTGGCGATGGTGATGTTGGTTGAGCCCACGTAGTGGTACGCTGTCTCTTTGTGAATCACTGCCCATCCGGAATCGTTGAGCTTGGGAAACTTGATCTTCACGTACACTGCGCACGGCTGCGTGAACTTGTCATATGTATATAAGTCTGGCACCGCGCCCTTTTTGCGAAGTCGCTCTTGGAGTTGTGAAGCCGCAGCGGATTTCCGCGTTCTATGAAACACAATTGTTAGGTGAAGAAGCCCTACTAACCACATCAAAACTTCTTTGTTTATGCCTGGAGCACACAAAAGCAAAAACTGTGCCCACTCTGCAATGTTCTGAAGCATTTGAAATGTCCGGGAGACCTCAGTATGTTGTAGTTGATCTCGAAGTATCTGCTGCACATGTCATACTGCGAGAAATGTGACTGCGGCGATGAGCTGCTGCAGACTTTTTGGATGCGCTGATGTCGAGGTGATCAGGCTGAGTGGCAATCCCCACCTCGTGGCCATTTCCTGAAGTTGCGACTTGTTAAATCGCGCTTCCTCTAGGATTTTCTGCACGTTGGTCATGTGGCTGTCCATCTCCGCGTGCTTGTCGGCGGGCATGGTCTTCTTGAGGTTGGTGACCCANNGTTTTGATGGCTGTCATGCTCGTAGGTGGGGCCTGGTCGGCTTGCTTGATCACGTTGAAGGGCTCTTGTATGAATTGTTCCAACTTTTTCTTGTTGGTGGCGTCTCCGCGCTGAAGACGTTGCCGCTTTGCTGGCGGCTGAGCTGGAGGAGGGTCTTCTTGGTGTCCAGACGATTCTGCGCGCATAGGCTCGGCTTGTTGACTGCCATCTTGAAGGGGTAGAGTTTTGGTGGGTGTGACGTCGATGCCTGCATTTCGGAGTCGCTGCTTATACTTGGCGGCCTCCTCCTCGAGAGTTTGCATGCGTTGGGCGGTCTCGTTGCTGGTCTCGTAATTCGTGGTCGAGTAGTTCTTGACCTGTGTCCACGGCTTGATGGAGTTGAGGAACTCGTCGACGATGAGGGCAATGTAGGTGGTGGCTTCCTTGACTTTGTCCGGCGGCTTGATACCACGCGTCTTG